CAGCAGGAGCCCGCCGCTGGACTGTGGCGGTAGGAGCGGAGCCGTCGCGGGCCGGCGGCCTCACGAGGACGCGCCGGCCGCCAAGAAGCACCGAGGAGCGGCCGACAAGGTAAGCGGCGGCCGGGGGGCCCACGCGCACGCACGCACGGGCGCGCGCACCGGGGCAGAACCCTCCCGGGGGGGGGGGCAGCGGTTTGTTTTGCTTTGGTTTTTATTCCGCGGCCGGAGATGATGCAGGTGTGAAGGCCACAAAGCGGCGCGCGCGCGGCCGCGGGGACGCACACAGCCCCCCCCCCCCCTTCGCTATTGTTGCTGCTCATTGTTCCCACTCTTAATGTCTGCATTGATGTTTCCCAGATGATTTCTCTGACTTGTCTTTACATAAAAGGAGGAAAGAGGAGGAGGAGGCTCCCATCCTCCATTCCAGCCTCCTCTCCTCCTCCTCCTCCTCCTCCTCCTCCTCCTCTTCCTCCTCCTCCTCTCCTCCTCCTGCTGCCTTCACAGCCCTCCGGTTTGTTTTTTTTCTCCCAACTATGCTTAGCAACTCGGAGGAAATAAAGCAAATCCTGCTCTGGTTTTTTGCTTTGGCTTTGTTTGCCTGGTTCAGCCGCCGCAGGGCCGCTTCCCCAATCAGCTCAGGCGTAAAGAAGTCATCCGAGGGGGGGGGGGGGGGGGGGGGGGGGGGGGGGGGGAGAGGGGGGGGGGGGGGGGGGGGGGGGGGGGGGGTGGAGGAGGACGGAGGAAGATGGAGGGATGGGAAGAGAGGTGAGCCGAGGATAGAGTCGTGAGACGGGAGGGAGGAAGCTGAACGTGGCGGCGGAGGGAAGACAAAGCAGCAGATGGAGTTTTTCTTCTTCTTCCTGTTTCCTCCTGAATGAGAGCAGCCACACTTTCCCTCCTCAGGAGAAGAGCCCCGCTCGCTCATTGGCGGTTGCTTTTTCCGGCTGTTTGAGTCTTTGTTCCCGCAGCTTTCTGAGGCCCGAATTGAACTTTTCATTAGGAGGCGAACCGAAACGATCCAAACCCTCCCCGTGTCTGCGTTTGGCCCTTTAGGGGGCTCGTTTCAGGTCAGATACGGGTTCTTCTCAGTCTCAGCCGTAACATAGCTGTATCTAAACCCCAAACCGGTCCACACTGGGGCCTGAATGATCCAAACTGGTCCAAACTTGGGCCTGACTGGTCCAACCAGGGGTCTGGAAGGTCCAAACTGATCTAAACTGGGGCCTGACTGGTCCAAACTGTTCTAAACTGGGGCCTGACTGGTCCAAACTGGGGCCTGGCTGGTCCAAACTAGTCCAAACTGGAACCTGGCTGGTCCCAACTGGGGCCTGACTGGTTCAAACTGGTCCAAACTAGTCCAAACTGGGACCTGGCTGGTCCCAACTGGGGCCTGACTGGTCCAACCTGGGGCCTGACTGGTCCAAACTGGTCCAAACTAGTCCAAACTGGAACCTGGCTGGTCCCAACTGGGGCCTGACTGGTCGAAACTGGTCCAATTGGGGCCTGATTGGTCCAACCTAGGGTCTGAATGGTCCAAACTGGTGCCTGGTTGGTCCAAACTGGGGCCTGGCTGGTCCAAACTGGGGCTCCTTAAACAGCCAATGAGGGCAAAGCTGCTTTCCCTCCATCTGTGGGTTGAAGCTTCGGTTTCAAAAGCAGAAACGACGGCTCCTCTGGAGGTTTTGGACTTAAAATCACCTCAGTTCCACCAAACGAGGGTTCCTCACTCAGGACTGGAGCTCAGCTCTCATCTGGAAATCAAATGTTTCTTCATCTTCTTTATCTTTATCTTCTACTTATTTTCCATATCTTCATCTTCTTTTTCTAATTCTTTAT